TCTGTTTTATTTTTCTGGGATTCTGACTGAAGAATACTGCATACAGAGAGAGGATTACGGACGATCTGATCCTTTACATTTGAAATTGAAATATTGTGATTGATGTGTGATACTTTTAGGATTAGGCCGTATTGATTTTCAGCAATGAAGTTGCAGGAAATTAGGGGTTCTATTGTCGAGGTCGGATTGGCAAAAAATATAGAAGAAATTTTGGAGTGGCTAATTTTCTACATCAATTGAATTATTTGAGATTGGGTTTTTTTTTCCGAATATTTGTGAATAGAGAGGCAGATTAATTGGTGATAAATCTTTTTTGAAATTTAATTCTAGTAACTTAATGGAGAAGATAATTGGGAGACATTGTTATCCTCTGCTATAATTAAGGAGATGATTACTGGATTGAAAATCGGGAAACTCAGATTTTATGGCTGATTTTATTTGTCCAGTATAAACAAGAAAGTTTTTTTTTTTTTAACTGAAATGCAAATTTTCTGAGCAAAGAAGAAGCCACGTTTCCTTGCTTCGGATGTACTGTAAATTTTTGGAGGAAAAATTTTCATTCTGGTGCTGACACGCGTCCTTAGTGTTTATTGCTTTAAGTAAGTACTATAGATGTGGAAAAAAAATAAAGAAAGAAAACCAACATTCTTTAATAGTATTTGACTTATGCAATGTACATTTAAAATTGAAATATTGTGATTGATGTGAGATACTTTTAGGATTAGGCCGTATTGATTTTCAGAAATGAAGTTGCAGAAAATTACGGGTTCTATTGTCGAGGTCGGATCGGCAAAAAAAATAGAATAAATTTTGGAGTGGCTGATTTTCTACATCAAAATCGAATTGTTTGAGATTGGGTGTTTTTTTTTTCCGAATATTTGTGAATAGAGAGGCAGAATAATTGGTGATAAATCTCTTCTGAAATTCAATTCTATTAACTTAATGGAGAAGATAATTGGGAGACATTGTTATCCTTTGCTATAATTAAGGAAATGATTACTGGATTGAAAATCGGGGAATCCAGATTTTATGGCTGATTTTACTTGTCCAGTATAAACATGAAAGGTTTTTTTTTTTTTTTAACTGAAATGCAAATTTTCTGAGCAAAGAAGAAGTCACGTTTCCTTGCTTTGGATTTGTATTGTAAACGTCTGTAAATATTTGGAGGAAAAATTTTCATTCTGGTGCTGACACGTATCCTTAGTGTTTGTTGCTTTAAGTAAGTACTAGATGCCCCTCTACTTTAATTTTGTGTTAATAGATAAATGAATTCTTGATTTGGAAAAAATAAAATAGCTACACATTTGGTTTTTTTTCTTTTTTAGCCAAAAATAAAAATAAAAATAAAAAAATTATCTGCCGAAGGAGAAAATATTGAAAAGTACAACGATTCAGAAATCATACAAAAGAATGTGGAGTAATAAAGGGGAAAAGTTTATGGCAAATTTAAATGCTATTTTAATTTGATTGATAAATGATAAATATTAGGAGTTAAAATTGTGTAGCTATTTTTGTAAAGTAGCTTTTGTTTCTAAGGATAAGAATTTTTTTTTTTTTAAAGGGATGACACGTAGCAGAATGGTTAATGCAATATGGTGCATTTGGAGCCAAAAATTTTTAATAAGAAATTGCCACATCAATATCATGTATTCTGCTTTAATATGGTAAAAGGGACCATAGATGTGGAAAAAAATAAAGAAAAAAAACCAACATTCTTTAATAGTATCTGACTTATGCAATGTGCATGTATTAGTACCCCATAAAATTTCATTTTTGATACGTGCAAATGGTAAAGAAAACCAACAGTCACCAAGTGTTTTCTTAATTTTGCGTGTATAAAAAAAGATTAAAAGAAAAACAACAACCAAATACACGTTAGGAATCCTGAACCCCAAAAGGACTACGAAAAGCTTTTCTTCATTCTTCATTTTAATATATGTTAACAACAACAACAACAACAACAACAACAACAACAATAATAATAATAATAGGTTGATAATAATAAGTTAAAAATGATGATTAATTAATATGTTAATAAATTATCAAAAAAAAATTCACACAAGTGGTAGCATACTACCAAATCCAAACTTGCTTATTTATATATATACAGCTAAATAATGTAAGTTGTTAAATGTTACTATAAATTAAATTTGTTACGCAAAAAGGATTTTATTTTATTATACTTATAAATTTTATAAAGCAAAAGCAAAAAACGATAGAATAAATGACGACACTATTGTAAAATTTGTCATGATAATTTGTTTATTCACAATGATCTAAACCATTGTGAATACTCGAATACTAAGGCTCCGTTTGATAATCACTTAATCAGTGAAACTTAATTAATTCAATACTTAATAGATGTTAGATTTGTTTGATAATTTAAATTAAGACATCTTAATAAATTAAGTGGATTTGAATTTTTGTATTTAAAGGCCTCCCTAAAATTAAGTGATAAGGACTTAACACTTAACAACGCTCAGTGATTTTAATTTTAATGATTTAAGTTTTTCGGCCAAGAGCACCCTTCACATCAGACCTCTTTTCTTCCATCTCTTCTCTGGCGCGCCGTTCTCTTCTCCCGTGGTTTCTTCTTCATCGGCGCCTCCCAACTTTCACGTGCTCCATCAATCTAAAATCCTTCCCCACTCACAAATTCTGACTCACAAGGCAATATCTTATTATAAATCTGCCATGGAAATATTTTATATTTTGTTCAATTTCAACCTGATTGATGTAAAGTGGTGCCGTACTTTTTTTTCTTTCCCCTTTGGTGAAAGATTCTGTGGGTTTTTTTGTTATTTGTATAACCTAATTGTTGATTTTGTGGGTTATATTGGATTTGGAATGCCTTAAAAATTAGTTTCTTTGAAATTTGGAAAAATAATTCTTCTAGATATCATCCTTTAAAGAATATAATAAAATAATATTAGATGAGATGGAGACATTAGAAATAAGTGATCCCCTATACGTTGTAACTGCTTTTATCTTTTGTGAAAGTAAATCTTCACAGGGATCCATGGATTAATCTAAGTACCAACCCAGAAAAACTTCCCAAAGCTTGGATATCGGTCAATGGAAAGAAATCAGGCCTACTTTAGATTTGAGGACCTCCCTCCTTTTTTGTTTTATTTTTTTTTAAAGTACTTGAATTTTGTTAAGTTGCCAGTAATATTGACTTTCTTATAGATATTTTGAAGAATACATTGGTTTATATTGTTTATAAATGCAAGTTCTGATCATTTTTGCATAATATATGGTTTGTATATTATAATTTTCACTTTCTTACTTTAGCTTTAATTGTGAACAGATGCTAACTGAAAAGCAAAGAAAGGTGTTAAAATTGTGGCATTATTTTCAATTATAAGAAAATTAAAAAGAAGACGTATAAGAAGGTGACCAGATACAAATTCGAAGTTAACTGGTGATGAATATGTCAATGAAATACTTGATGGTAATCTAGCACACTCATTAGATGTGCTACATATGGAATTACCTGCATTTTCAAACTTATGTAATCACTTTCGAAGCTAAGGTTTGTTAAAGGACAACAGCTATATTGCAGTCGAAGAAAAAATGGCAATGTTTCTATATAGTTTGGGTAATCATACAAATTGTTCGACAAAACGAAGATATTTGCATTGAACCCAAACAATACGTACATAGACACTTTTATAAAGTTCTACATGCGATGCTTACATTTTCCAAGGAGATGATTGTCCCAAACTATAATCCAACTGTATACCATAGTTAACGCCAACGTCAACTTCGTGAGGAGTTTTTTCCGGTATTTTTTTTTAAAAATCTTTTATATTATTATTCAGTTACATTTATTAATATTTACCTGATGTATTATCTACTAATTTATTGTGTTATATTTAAGGGTGCTATTGGTGCGTTAGATGGCACACTTATAATACGGTTATACCACGAGAGCACCAAACCCCATTTCGAGGGAGAATGAAAGGGGATTGATTTCAAAATGTTCTTGTTATAGGTGATTTTTAATATGCTGGGTGGGAAGGTATAACACATGACTCTAGAGTGCTGTCTGAAACTATGCGACCAGATCCGACAAGTAATTTTATATTTCCTCCACCAGGTTAGCGAATTGACTCTTTTTAAATTACATTTTAACTTATGATGAGAGTATTATTTGTTTGGAACCCATATCAATTTAATTTGTTACAGGAAAATATTATTTATGTGATGTTGCTTATCCTGTTATTTGTGGGTTCTTGACACCTTTTCTTGACACCATATCGTAAGGTGAGATATTGGTTATCTGATTTCCAATCTGGCCGACGCCTCCCATCATCTTCTAGTTTTCGTCACCAACCATTGTAGTTCAGTTGCAAAGTGTATGTTTCCGGCAAAGCCTAACGGAATATTTTCTAATCAGCTCCCTGTACACACTTTCGATAACCCGTATTTTTGTTCAAACATTGTCAATGGTAACTCTTGCTACCGCACAAGCACGCGTTTCATGTTCAAGCTACGTTGTTTCTTGGGCTTTGATCCAACCAATAAACAGAATAAGGTACTATTGATTTGCTTTTGTCCTGAAAAATAATATGTTATAATCACTTTGAGTGAGAACAACAACCATGCTATCTCTATGTCATCATCATGGAGGGAAGTTGAAAGTTTACCTCCTCTTGATGTTGTGAAAATGAGGGGTATATGTGTTGATGGTGCCATATATTTCGCTGGGCATGTTCAGGATGGTCAACAGGTTGTGCAATGTTTTGAAGTTGGGGAGGAAAAGTTTAAGTCGTTGCCGTTTCAGAATCAAGCGGCGCGCACCGAGAATCCATGTTCTTGACAGAGGTTGGAGGCAAATTTGCATTGGTTACATTTAAAGGAGAATGGTCCTACCAAAATCAAAGTGTGGAAACTGATCAACAAACATGTTCCAACCTGGGTCGAAGATAGAATTAAGCTACCGGGGGAGCTGCTGCTTTCCAGTGCAAGTCAAGTCCGCTCCTTTGGTAGCATAAATGCAGGCTACAAGCTTTGATGACATCAAAGCCATCACTGAGGAATTTGGGACTAGCCGGCTCCAAGTTGGATATGTTGGCCTTTTTTGATTTGGACGATAGCAAAAAGTATGATATCAAGCAACTAATTTTGAGGACAATAAGGCAGCAAATTTGGTAACTGGTGCAATGCTTTCAAGGGAGAAGCACGTTGATGCCATCCATCACGTGGAGAACATTCTTCCTTTGAATTGCCGAAGGCGCATTGGAGAGTAGCAAAGGTTGAAATAATACATTCTTCCTTAACTGTTCTCCTTTGATTGTAAGCAGTTGATTTTCCTTTTCTTGTCCTTTTTTGCATGGATGAGTTGGAGTTCCTTAAAACGTTAAAATTCAGGTTTTCAGTCCTTATTTGCATGTTTTGGTGCTCCTATAGTTTTGATTTCAGTTCATGTTAGGCAATCTGAATTGTGTTTTGTAGCACAATTTGAGTTGTGTTTCTGTTTTGCAATTTCCCTCATTGGAATACTTACTCTTGTCTTAAGTTCGTGTTTGACATTTCAAGTTTCCATTTTGTTATGATATTTGGGTCATTAGGTTTCAGATTTTGTGGGCTTCTTGTTCGGCTTAATTGCAAGTTCTAGCTTGCTTTATGTTTTCTATTTCTGCACTTTCTTTTGTCTTCTTGAGTGTTTGGAATCTGCTTTTACTTTACGTTTCAAGCTTCAGGGGAAAAATGGAATCCTCTCATGTCATCTTGTCCATTGTTGTTCTGAAAGATACTTTCCTCTCTTTTGTTTATAGGCGAAAAATCGAGTGCATTTCATTGCATTGCTGAATTTGTGACCTTAAAGTTTAGAGTACTTTGGGTTGATTAATGGTTTAACTTTATGATCTAACCAATTGCTGTTCCTATGGAGACCTGCAGGCTACAAAAACTATTAGTCCACTCGAGGACCTTGTGTTTGTTCAGAGTGGAACTTTGGGTAGTTTATGCTCTTTGGTGTCCTCATTCTAGTTTTGAATAATGTTAGACAACTGAGTTTGTTGTTAATATGGTTTGGTGGTTGATCATGGTTGTAGTAAAATTTTTAAGAATTTCTATTCTGTAGAATACATTGGAGGTGATTTCCCGTATTTCACCGAATCTCATTATATCCATTCTCAGACCCACCGGCTGGCTGACTCCTCCCACCTTCTGGTTGTCGTCGCAAAATGTTACACGGCTAAGTTTATATTTCCAGCAAAACCTGACGGAGTTTTTTCCGACCAGCTTCCAATACATACCTTCTGTGCCAGTGGCACATATGGAACGGTCTGATCTGTCTCGTAGTCCGAGACTCACAGGACAGACCAACTGGATTTCAAATTCACTTGCTGAATTTCACGACCGGGGAAAAGATAGGTCTTCCTAGATTAGAACTACCGTGTGGTTATAGCGGTCTTACGGATTGTTTATTAGGATTTGATCCAGCCAATAAACAATACAAGGTACTACTTTACTCTTATTCTGAGAGTAAGTATTCTATAATCACTCTGGGGGAGAATGTTATTTCAAAGTCATGTTCGTGGAGGGAATTGTCAATTTCAGCTCCTCTTAATGTTAATAGAACGAATATATGTGTTGATGGCGCCATATACGAGACACCATACAGAAATGGTGAACGTGTTGTGCAATATTTTGGAGTTAGGGAGGAAAAGTTTAAGTCAGTGCTGATTCCTGATCAAATGACTCGTGACCAATATCATTTTTTCTCAACAGAGATTGGGGGCAAATTCACATTGGCTGTGTTAGACAAGGATGGTGCTAGTAAGATAATCCTATGGACACTGATCAACAGGGATGATCAAAAGTGGGTTAAAGACACGATTGAGCTGCCAAGGGAGCTGCTTTCCAATGTGATGGGAGTCCGCACAATTGGTAGCATAAATACAGGCTACAAGCTTTTGGTGACCGCGAAGCCGGCACCGCCGACCTCCAAGTTGGGGATGTTGATCTTTTGTGATTTGGGTGATGGTAAGAAGTATGAGGTCAAGCAACTAATGTTTGAGGATAATAAGGTAGCGAATTTGGTAATTGGTGCAGTGCTTTTGCAGGAGGATTATGTTGTTATTCATCATGTGGAAAACATTCTTCGTTTGAATTGTCCCCCAAGGAGCTTAGCAGAATAGCAAATCAAGTTTGTGATTGTCAAGTTCATGGCAAAATAGCAAAGGTTGTGCTATGACATTCTTCCATCCTCAGCAGTTCTCCTTTGACTTTAAGCCATTGATTTCAGAGTTTGAGAATGGTGAGAACCTTGAATTTTGCTTCTTCTTTTTTTCCCCCCCTTGTTTTCAAGTTTTGGTACTCGGTTTTTCCTTTAGTTCATGCTTGTGGATGTATTGAAATTATGTGTTATTGCACGATTTGAGTTTGTATTTCTATTTTATCTAAACGCCTTGCTTTTAGAGAAACATTTTAAAATAAAGGAAGTAAACCTTACGTATTAGAGGAAGTAATATAATAGTACCGATTTTGAAGTTACAGGATCATATAGATATACCAAAATATAAATAAATAAATAAGTAACTAAAGAGACACAGATAATTTATCACATAAACATTCGATAAAAGTTGAAACAAGAAGCTTTGCCTTGCTCGAGAGATAAATACAGTATATGTACTAAGAAATCAAAACCACTCGACCACGCATTCGGGGTAGAGACCAAGTTCGGTTGCAATTGCGGAACAAGACTTGAGTTCTTTCTGAGTTTTCCTTCTCTCGTAAAATATGGAGCAAGCAAGCGATGTGCATTTCACACCACTTTCTACAAGCCAATCGCCGCCTCCACAATGCCGGCATATCTGCGTGACAAATCTAAGGTTATACATCTCCCTAAGCAAGAACCAAGAAGCAGATGCAGCATAGGGAAAACATGAAGATGACTCATTGGAAACAAAGAGATGAAACTACGTTGTGGAAAGGGAATATCACCGAATAAGAATAAAAAAGTTATAACAGAATCCTTCGATTGTTAATGACAGCATGCAACAAAAATCATTATCAACAAACTTTGCTCAATATACTTACGGCCACAAGATGTTGGATATCCTTTTCCAGCTTTGCAGTTCTTCCAGTCAAAGCTATTGCCACAGTTGCTTCATTCCTAGAACATTCAAGGCATAGATAGGTCTTTGCTTGTACTAGAGCACCGCAGAGGACACAATGCTTTGACAGGTAGTAGGAATCAATTCTAGTTTTATTGTGACTGGAAGCAAACAGATGGCGTTTACCCACAGCTACCTTTTCCGGACGGGGCATTTCAGCAAACCACTGGTTCAAGTCAGCTCCAACAAGCCCAAAAACACGTTGCAAAGCTGGGATTATCTGTTTTTTAATGTAGTATACCTCATTTAACCTATAAGGAGAATCAATGGCTAAAACTTCCATTGGATCCACAACCATATCTACCAGACGGGCCCCAGGTTCACCATGAACTACAACATACGGAACTCGTTCTCCATAGCGTGGTTCAGCCCTGGGGTCAGCTCTCATGGCTTTGGTTGCAACTATGGCTGCCGGGGGGACTGATGAAGCCCTGTAAGTTCCTAAGCGAACTTCCTTTGCAAAAATAAAATCCTCAAGAGAGATCCTGCCAGATATAATCCGTGTCCATTGACGCAACAGGTATGTCTTAACCTACGATGATGAGGTGGAAGAAAGAAACCAGACTTCCTGTGAGCTCCAAAAAATAAAAACATTGACATTGAAGAGAAAAAATTTAAACCTTTCTTTACACAATCAGTGTGTACCAACATTTATAATTTAGCACATAAACCCAATGGACAAGGTAAACTGGCAAATCAAGAAACTTTATGAAGCAAAATTTTGATCCAACTCTAATTTACCTTATCAATATTAGGATGTTCAAAAAAGACTCTCAGTGACTTCTCCATTGTCTTGGACACAGCCCCACATGAATCTCTCCGTACAGTCTCAATACCTTTGGCATCAAATTTGGGGTTCCTTTGGCCAGGGCTCTCATAGCTATAACCAACATACCTCTTTTTAGTAAGGAGAAAACATGGATAATAGACCTTTTCCATCTTTAGCACAACTGGGTTTGGATTCATTGCAGTTACAGCTGATGCAATTTCATCACCTATTTGAAATGTTTCTTCAACAGACCGCCCCTTGAGGAGTACAAACATGCTGCAAAAATGAAAAACCATTTGGTTAGGAATCATCCTGGCCTCAAAAAAAGGTAGAAAAACAAGCCGCAATTTCAAAGATGCTAATACGTTACTGCTTCCAAATTTACTCCAAAGGTAAGAAGTCAAATTATACCTATCAGTATCCCCATATATTACTCTTGCTTTCCATTTGTCATGACTATTAATAAAGGAAATGGCGTTTTCCAGTGTTCTGCGTCCACACTGAACTATGCTATCAGCAAGCTCGGCACAAGGCATACGGCCACTAAATCCTGCAGCTGTATATCCATATGTGACATTGGATATTAGCTTCAGTGCTAGTTGTCTGGCATTAAATATGCGATGAAGCACCTGATTTGAAGGACCTAACTTTTTCATAGCTTGTTTTACCATGATTCGAGTTGACAAGATTTCATCCAATAAGCGAGGCAATACTCCTTTACGAACCGTTGAAGGTACATACAAAACACCGTTAGGAGTAAGGAGCAATTCATGCTTTAGACTCTGCAAAACCTTCATATCTGGCGAGTAAGAACTAACACCAAGGACATTTGCTGTTGAAGGTGTTATTTTTCCAAGGCATGTGCAGAAACAAAGGTTATATGCAATTATCATGGATGGATAAAGGGATTGAAAATCCAAGACAATTACTGGGTCTGAATAAAAACCAGACTCTGGTTCCATCACAAGAGGTAAACATTCCATCGCAGGTTGACACGCGACCTGTAGGTTTCCAGGAGAGATAGCAACATAATTTTGTGAATGTGCCAGCCTTAGAAGCATAGATTCAACCCGATATTGAGAACCTCGAGAAAGAACAGAAAAGAAGTCAATACCAAACACTCGAGCAAGTTCTGATGTTCTGTTAATCAGATCGTGTTGATTCAATATGTGAAGGTTTAACTTCGATTTTTCCAACACGTATTCCATGCACCTATATCTGGCACGAGCAGAACCGCTTGAAAACCATTTTGTCAATACATTGTGGGGAATATAAGGAACTTTCTTTTTCAAAACAGCTTCAGCAACAGCCTCAAGGGTGTACATGTTAAGCTTCACTTCTCCACGCATCAATCGCCAGACATTCAGAACAATTCGACCACCAACATGAACACCACTTGCATGGGTTCGGCCCCATTCATCTTCCACCATAGAGTCCTCCAATTTCACAGAATGGGAAATTTCAGGTTTTAAGAACATTTCATCTGCCACAGATTTGTCACAATTATTGGAAAATTCAGAAGCCCTATGAAGCTGAGATGGCGTGCGGGATATGTTATTTAGCAGTCCTATCCCAAGATTAGCAGCCCTCTCTGCAAGAAAACCAAGGGAACCTGCTTGGATATCCCAACCGATCAATATATCAGGATCAACAAGAGATATGAGCTTCACAAAATGGTTCAACATCTCTTTCTCTTCGTCGAAAACCAGCAGTTTGCAATTACATATACCGTCAAGATTTTGTCCATTTTTATCAGTGTCAGACAGCAAAAGCATGAAAGCATCTGATGTTACACCATCATCTTCTTGAAACACAAGAGTGATGATATCAATCGCATCAAATCTGGGATCAGGCCTCAAATCTCCTCTACATCCTGCATGAATCTCAACACTCACCATGGTTATCTGCTGCCTACCAGCAACACCGGCTGGATCCCGAAAACCCATCTGACTCAAAGGAGTCAACTTTGACTTAACATCTGGACCAGATAGCTGAGATATATCTTGTGAAAGAACAGTAGATGATTTAGATGCCATAGTTTTACAGTCATCTTTCTGAATACTTCTAACCTCACTAATGTGAGATTCAGCTTCACCCTTCGAATGTTCTTTGTCGTGCCCATTTGACCCAGAATCCAACAAATCCGGATCAGAAACAGGACACAAAGGACTCTCTGACTTCACCACATCAGGGCGGAGTGGTTTAGATGGAGTACTCAAAACGGTTGTCTCTGCATTACAATCACTTAAAAGAACATTTCTTCCTTCAGAGGATAGCCATCTTTCCACATGTTCCTCAGATGGAGGTGATCGAGCTGGAGTCAACATATATAAATAGGAACCATCATTATGATAGTGAACAGGTACACCAAAGAATTTTTCTTGACGGCTACTATGTTCTGCTACCCCACTAATATTTTGAAGTTCCGTGTCTTCCAGGTTCTCCTTCATAAAGAAAGGGAGGACATCATCAGGAACTCCATTATGAATAGAAATTTTTTCAGCCACCTCCTTCATCGCAGGGGGTTCCAGAGCTATGGAACACGACATTGCTGAATTCTCACCAAGTTCATATGTTGAATCTATCACTGGGGGTTTCTTGCAGAAAGTAAAACCAATGAGTTCCACGGGATCTGCTTTCAGGCTACCAGCCGGAAACATAGAACTGCAAGTTTCGGGCAAATTTGAGTCTTCTTCCGGACGTCCGTCCACCTGAATTTGATGGGTATGTCCAGCCAAACACCCCATGTCCTTTAGATTTTGAATTTGCAAATCAGTTTCGTCCCAAGTATTCTGCCTCTTTGAGCTGGAATTAGAAACTGAACCATTTTTTTCAGGAGACTCGTTGCTGATGAGAGTAGGACGACTTAAAACTGTAGCATCCTTCTGTAGAATATCTTTTCTAAATTCCCCTAGCAACTTTGAAGAATCCTTACCACCACATTTCTGTGATGCTGAAAATTTTACTTGGCTACTATCAGCATGAAGGTGTTGGGAAAAGGGGGATGGTCTATCTTTTGATATATTTTCCACCAAGTTATTAGCATTTTCCAGGAAAAGAGATGATTTATCATGCATAGAACGATCTAATTCATCAGATGTCACATCAAAATCCTTGGCAGATTCTTCTAATGCAGCTGAGCCATACCCAACTAATTTATCTATAACTGAAGCTTGGGATGAGGCTGAAGCATGAAAGTTTCTGCCGGAGTAGTTTATCTGTTCTCTGCAAGAATATGTCTCTGCTCTTGCTTCCTCCTTAAGGAGAACTTCTCCAACCAGAGGAACCTTACTATCAGATAGCTCATTCCTAAAGCAACGCTTCTTCCTCATCAAATCCCTCATGGAACATCCAACTATTATATCTGCATCACCCTTTGAAGTACTTGGAAACTTGTTCACCACATCCTTGTTTTGACTTGAAGAAACAGGTAAGTGACCCCACTCAGGTTTCTTTTTCCTTTTGCAACCGAAATTGTTTAAAGAGGAATTTTGTGATGATTCAGATTCATACTTCACATCAGAAAAAGACTCATCAGGAACTGCGATGAGACTATCTGAGTTGTTAAAATGATTACTTGTGCCAGTGTGCAAAGTATTGGATGATAGATTGCACTGTTCAGGACCAGCCTTGCCGCTGGATTCTTCAGTACCAGCTACATCGTCAATAGAATCAAGTATGTCTTGACACTCCTGCTGAGACTGATTCTCAATATCCGCATTTGCTTTCTCCAATACCTCATTCATCATTGACGAGGGCAACAAGGGACTGAGGATGGTCTGATGAGCAAGTTCATCATCAGAATTTATTTCTTCTTCTGCTTGGGAAGATGCAAGCCACTTTAAAAGGCCCAAAGCATCCTGATCAGAAGCCTAAAAGAAGCATTAAAGTAACTCGTGAGCATCCAAAAATTATGAAATTTGCAAAGTTGGAAACAATGCAATTAGATGATGCCAAAAAAGCTCCTAAAAGCAGAATTGTTACCCAACAAATGAGCAAACAAATTATAGGTCACTGAATACAATAAAAGTTGCACCACCGAAATTGCTAGTTTGAATTCAATAAAGATCCAGTTAACTAGTCAAAGTTGTCAAGTTTGGACTTATCCTCTCTAACAAACACCTCAAAGAAGAAAATGGGCATTCCTTCATAGAACCCTAAATTGTTGAACAGGTCGCGAACAAAAAAGTTACTCTTAGATAATACAGAATGACGACTATTCAATAGCAGAAATTCAGTCACGGACTCCCCCAGTTAGCAGCCAAAACAAGGAATTGATTCTGTATTATCTAAGAGTAACATTTTTGTTATCTAACACAACGATAACAACCCAAACAAGGAATCGCTTTGTTTCTTTGCAATCATATACTTCATAGACATTTATGCAAAAAATCTGAGGTTGCAACTATAGCTGAAAAAGTAAAAACCATTTGTAATTACCTTCATATGGGACGGCCCAAGAGATGGTGAGCAATGATATTGATCAACAGACGGCAGCTTCACATTTGGCTCTTTGCAGATTTTTTTAACATCTTCATCTTGAGAGCCTAAGAAATTTCCAGATGGCAAAGATCCGTTGGAAGAAGTTCCCTCTAAACTTATTAGCATTTCCTTGGCTTTATGTTCAGAATCACCAGAGTTTATCAAATTCACTTCATCAGTCAAAGATCTAAAACATTGCTCGCTGGAAGATGAATTTCCTGTGACATCACTCAATTTGGAAAGGAATTTTTCTGTCTCAAGCCAGTGTGATAGTGTCCTTAAAACATCTTGCGGAAGCGGTTTTCCGGGATCAGGTGGAACAGCAAGACACTGCCCCCCGCTCCTATCAAGTTCCTAGAATCAGCAAAAACACTCAAAACATATGAAACGAGAGAAACCACACCGACCACACCAGAGGGCCATATCATCCACGGGTTAAAAAGAAGCAAAAATCGAATGACACAGAAACAAACCTCCCAAATAGGTATCAAAGACTGAACCATTTTCATTTCCGAATGGGTTTGCGAGAGGGATGTATATGACATATACAGTTGATTGAGGATGTCTGGAAAAGCCAACAGAATTGAATATAAACACTAAATTACAACAGAAAATGAATGCCTAATGTTTGAAAAGGGGAATAGGGAAAACAACTACCCTCCACAACAGCATCTCCTTCAAGTTCAGAAGTACTTTGACGTTTAACTACCGAAAGTTTGTTGTCCACCGTGGTGGTGTCAGGCTGACAAGATTGCCAAGTCCAACCATCTGGAATTGTTGATGAAGTCCAAGTGGGTGAATCCAAACATGGGTCTCCACCTGCATCTGCCTATGAAGAAGGTCTCAAAATGTAATGCTTTCCAACACGAAAGGAAGATTTATATGCACAACACTTCAATACACATGAACATAAGAAGAAAAAAGAACTCATCATATTACTTGTATCCATGCCATTGAAAAGATTAGCAAGCTTTACCTGAGAGACAGACAACACGGCTTTCCGTGAGTAGTAAACATCCGGCACTGGATGCCTAAATTTCAACTTTGTCAAATGTAAATGCCCCATCCCATACAAGTTATAATCGACCTAAACAATTTTGGAGAATGATTTAGAAAGCACAATATAAAGTTACAAGCATAATATTAAGCTTTTCGAAGAAAAGAAAAACTGGTTCAAATTTCCAGGAGTTTAACTTCACAATCGCAGAACACAACATTCATACTTTGTTTAAGCTGCACACATGCTGGTAAAAGTTGAGCACACAAAAGCAATGGACAGTTAAGAATGTTCAGATAGCAAATATGGAAAACATGATGGTTATAAGAAAATAATAAAAGAAAAAAGAGTAAACTAGTAAAATTATTGACCGTCAAATTTTTAACAAAGCTATGTCTCGTACGTTTTTTATTTTTATTTTAATTTATTTTTAAAGAGAAGGACCTTCCGAGCCCAACCTGAAAGTCCAAGAGTGCAGTCCTAGCCTTGTCAAAGAAGTATAATTCTAGCAATTACATTTCATCTCAGCCACAGGACATTAAGTGACCTAAATCTGAAAGATAGCGGAACTAAAATGCAAAACTGCAGTGTCTCATAAGCTATAGCTGCAGGAGATTGATAAAATGTAAGGAGATTTAAAGTGAAAAAGGCCAGTAGCAGGGCACTATCTAGGTTTCACCAGAATTCTCAGATCTTATCAACAACAAAATAACAGCACTTTAATTACATTTAAGAATCTCTGGGAACCCGTTACAGACCAATATGCTTTCTCTGAATATGGCAAGCAAGACTACACTAGAAAAAAGAGAGAAGCTTACAAGTCCATAAAAAAACAAAAAGGAAAAAAGAAGGAAGAAAATAAGAACTGATGAAGAAGAGGAAGATAAGAAGCAAGGAAAATAAGTCCCCTACATGAAATTCAGCAACCAACTGATGGCAGAAAATAAAGATTTAAATAATCATAAGCTACATTGTAATACAGATTCCAGCATACAGAAGTACTTACCTTAAATTGGAGAAGATATGGAATATGTGATTCATGGGGTTGCAAAATCTTATCCAAGATTGCACCTGCCTGCACAAAAATAACTCTTGCTTAATTCAAAAATCTAATGTCCTTATTTGAGAGATTAGACGTGTATACATGTCCATTTACATACATCGGAATTTTCTTTCAGACACAGCATATTACAATTCCATTACCAGTTCTGCAATAAAATTAAAGCACTTTCTTTTCCATCTAAACTTCAAATAACAGGACGCTATTTCTTTTCAAAAAAAAAAAAACAGGACGATATTTTAGCAGATCAAAAGATCTAACTGAATACCAATTTATAATTATGTACACTTACAAGGAAACCCAATTACTGAAGGAAAAATGGTTCATTTCATCAAATTGTTGATATCAAAGATATATACATTATGCACAAGACTGCAACTTAAGTTGCACTAATCATGGGAAAAGTTCTTCGAGATCATATGGTATGATGAAGCATAATGAGCATATTAAAAAAAAAAGGTTCCGAAAGAGTGCCATAACATTAAATTTGGAAGCAATAAAAGCCAGAAAGAGCAAAATGATGTCAAACAATGATTATGCAGTTTGCCAGAGATGTGTACCAAAAGAAGATTGGAAAGCCTGGGGACATCCTGCGGATAATAGCTATAATGTCGGTCAAGGTGGTACAAGGCAAATTTCAAAAGAAGGAAAAGAGGACAAAGACAGTTCAAAATTGAGTGTTCAGAAAATAGATGACTAGCGCAAATAAAGAAAATACATCTCTTTTCAAACAGTAAACTAAACCCTGGCACTGGCAGTGATTAAAAAAATCTGTTGAACCACTGACATCCATACTTCTTAAACGTAATAGAGCCTTGACATACACAATAGTATTAGGATACAGATAAATCTTAAGAAACAACTCCTCTGAAGAATGATGGCCGTAGAACTTCTTTGCTCGAACAAGACTGCACCCATGGACATGCTGACGTTTCGAACCAGCACTGCTTTTGAGCTGAAAATTTTGTAAACAATTTTCACTATTTATTGCAGCGAATACCAACTAAATGCAGTCAAAACAAAAAATGAGTAGAATCACAAACCTTCAAGGCCTTTTCAATCGCAAGAGACATGGAATTGGTGAAAGCAATACCTAGGAAATCAAATAGGGAGTGAACATAGACATGTTTGAACCGCAGAGCACATAATGAAAATTGAATTTACAAAAACTCCAAGGTTGACTCAGCATCAGATTTTTACCATCAGTGATGCATCATAACAAGAACCATACAGCCTGTTAGCTCTCTGTGTTCATATGTATATGTGTCTGCGTGTGTGCTCATGCAGATAATGATTGAATGCAATTGACTAATAATCCACTGAAAGCATCACCTACGCAAAAAGTATATAAGGCTGCATGCTAGCACTCAGATGGATATTTTAATCCTCAGCCCAGAAAGTTTAGACGTTTTAACCACATATAACAGGATTTCAAGGTCAAAGAGCTCAAAGGATTGAAATTCAACAGCAGGAAAACTATCAAGGTAGCGTCATGCTGTAAGCAGGGTCTTCCTATTTATCATACAATTTCATCTCAAACAGCTTACAACACAACAAAGTGATTTTTGTGAATAAAAGTTATCCGTGTGATGATATATGCTGTGAATGTGACTGTTACCTTCTTCTTCAGGTTGAAGAGATAACTCTGAACATGGAACATAAAGATAAGGCAAAGCCTGCATCATAAAAAGGGACAACATCAAGCAAACTAATTCTTGCATTTCAAGTATAAAGGAACTAAGATAGTTGACTAAAATAGAATCTGATTTCAGAATCCACAGCACATGTGATACAAACGCAACACAAGAAGTCTTGCAGAAAGCAAAGTACACAAAGTAGGAAGAGACTGTTTATAAAACTACCATCTATCTAGCTAGGCTAGAGCGAAAAATATACTGTAAAAATTAACAAGAATCTGAATCTTCATAGCATGCTACACTGAGAAGACTTCAATCTCAAAGACGACCTGACTAACAAAACTAAAGATGATTTTCTAATCCATTTTCTTTGTTCAAATTAGCACATGCTTTAGTCCAGTAAGAATCCTATGACTTTAACATTTCTACGCCCCGAAACAAACATTAGTGTCTAGTGACACCGCAGCAATTACTGCGCTCAGACATTAACTTAAATTTCAAAATATCTCTCGATGCTTTGTAATGATACATAATAGACAGGAGAAGATAATTTCCCCCCGCGAGATCCCTATACCCCAAACACTCGCATAAAAACAAAAAGTTGCAGTTATGAATTCAGTTACAAATTCACCTAAAACGGAAACCCTTGCGTCTTTCTTGGCGAAGCAAAGAACTAAACACATGATAGCACTAATAATAACTGTAAGCATGATCCCGTTGATGTTCTTACCCCGTGTACGTGCAAACAAGTCTTCTGGCCACCCGGAGTCGACCCATATATCCTTATAACTGGAACCTCATTCACTTTTCCACCTGCACAATCAATTACATCAGTCACCACAGAACCACCAAACTTTCAAATACTACGTCGTTCATAACAATCAATATTCTCCATTTTTGACAACATTTGAAATGAATATCACGCATCTTTAACAGATATTGAAATTTTCAGGTGAGTCAAAAGCCCTAATTTAACCAAAACCAGCAAATTCTGGCGGGATTTTTGAACTTGAACTCAGGATAACCAAGTAACTGAAAAAATCGCAAGTCAAGTAGACCCTGAACACCGCTATATATAGTCATCCAAAGTTCCAAACATGAAGATTAACTGGATAGGTAAACGAGCAAATTGGGAATTTGAAAAAGGGTTTTACCATGAAAGCTGCTGTAGGAGATGTCGAAACCAGGAATGGGAGGGCTCATATAGTAGTCCAAGGACACAATCCGGACGCTGAAAATCTTGGAATTGGGCTCCAAAGAATCGCCCATTTCTGTTTCTCGTGTTGAATTTTTAGGTATTCTGTACACTTCCTTCTGTTTTTTGCTCAGCTTTCATGGAATGGAACTAATAAAATGGAGAGAGAAATGGATTATTCTGCTTCGAGCTTTGACTTTCTTCGCGCCTTCACCGTGGTATTTATAGCTGTTCTTTCTTCTGACTAATTTGAGAAACTTCCCTCGGAAGTGTCGGCCCACATTTTAGCCACATTTTTATTTAATTTCTTTCTCGAAATACAGTACTTTTTTTTTCTTATTTCCATTTCCTTAATGAAAGTTTAATGACTTAATACTTCATTTTGAAAATATATTAGGAAATATAGTTATTATGTTTTCCTAAATTGTCTGTACAATAAAATGGAGGGCTCCTATTCACTTGGACTGAAAAAGCATATTCCTCCCGTCTCATAATTATTGTCCAGTTTTAATTTTCATTTTTAGTTCAAATTGTATTAAAAGTGAAATCTCAAACTGAATAATAGTATTAGATGACTAAAGTCTTTAATGGGTGATGTCGGAAGTGATACTAAAAAAACCTAAATGGATTGTAAATGTAGGTGTGAACAATTTTCTAAACTACAAGATCGTTTAAAAGAATCAACTATAGAAGATATTTATAGTTTCTAATAGAGAACTATCTTAAAATGTAAGAGTTTGTATAGAAAATTGAAAAAATATTTAGAGGGAGAAAATTAAGTAGAAATATTTCTTCCATCCATGAAAAAAACAATCTACCTAATCATATTATTTTGGTTTTATTTTTTTTAGAAAAAGCATAATAAAAATGGATTGTTTTCCCTAGGTCGGATATATCAATAACTATGAAGTAAACCTAAAATCAAGTTCATATAACAAACGCTTGTGTGAAAACTTGGCAACAAATGATGGACAATTCTTGTACTAAAGTAAATCAACAATGTATTCAAAAGTAAAAGAATATGCTTCCTTATTAGTACATTTATTGAGAAACTTATTTTGAGTTTACAGGGGAAAGAAGAAGGACAACACTACAAACAAAAGAATCAGAAAATAAACAATGATACTACTACAACAAATTGAACATGGTTTGTTTGTTTGAGCATCTTATTGCTCAAATCAACAACCCAAAAAAAAAAAAAGCTTGGGTTTCACTTAGATTGAAACACTGTTGGGAATGCCTTTGCCAGTCAATCCAGGTTCACTTGTGGGATAAAGCAGAGTGTATGGCACCTTAACAGGGCCAGCCCTGTTCTTGAATTCATCATCATTGTTCAACTGGATAATCCTTTTCTCAATTTCACCCAGATTCCTCCCGAATTTCTCAAATGCTGCCAATGCTCCTGCTTCTTTAGTCCATTCAGGATCATCCCTCTGTCCCAGGTATATCTCATCAGAAGCATGCCTTGACAGTATTTCAATCAGGGAAACTCCAAGCAATGTCTGGATCTGAGCAGTGATTGTTTTGAAGAAAACTCTATCAGGGTTGGTTTTCAGTTCTTCGTATTCGGGAGTTCCGGGTTCCGGCATGAATCTCCTGCTGACGGTGGGGCGATTCGGGAGGTACCCGGCATAAGCGTACTGTCCGAAATTGACTGCTGCGTGAAGGGCAGAAGCAATCCAAATTATGATGGTGCAGGAGTCTACTAAATCTTTCAGGTTCTGCATTTTAGGCCACCAGGGTGCATCTTTCTTGTCACCATGTCCTTGTTCTCTGAGTTCCTTCCACCATGATTGGAGTTCAGCATCTTTCTGGATTGTTTCATCTGATTTGTAGTAGACTTTGCAATAATCTTCCACCCATGTTCTAATAGCTGACCAGATCTCAAGCCCATCAACAGCAAAAGGGTAGTCTTTGATCAATAAACGGAGGCCATGGGGAGCTTCAGGATCCTCAACTGCCATTCCTCTGTTCCAATAATTTTATGATCCAAAATGTGAGTTTAACTGTGTACAGAAGAGAAATCTATTTTGAGGATTGAATGTTTGATTATATGAAATGGTAGGTTTAATTACCTCTTGATGAGATCAGCTGGGAGTGCTTGTTCAGGGAAAACCCAGTCTTTGTATAAAACTGATGACATCTCCATGGCATATCTTCCAGGGAAAACTGTACTCTCCAGGATTCCTCCTGCATTGATCAGGACTTGGCGAGCCAAAGCGTTGATGTTCATCGTGTCGCGGAAGTGAGGATACAGAAGCTTGTGAATCGGATGAAGCACGCTCAGCTGCCGGTTTGTTGCAATGACAAACGGCTCGATCACAGCATGAGTATGTAACCTGCATCACATAACCATAAACTTCAGAAAATGCTAGATTTTTAAGCATACAGCAAAATGTTTCATTTGTATGCTGTTTTTACCAGTGGCTGATGAGCTGATGAACTCCGGAGTCATTTACACCAACATAAGCTTTTGCTAACTGCCAGAATGAGCCATCGATTCCATGCTCAGCCGGCGTGTAGACTTTACTAACGGCGCCATGCTGATCTCCATCTGGATGAGGCAAGCTTAGCTCAATGGCTAATGGCTTTAAGGTTCCATCCTTCTGTAAGAACAGCAGAGTCCTTGAAGCATAAGTCTTTGTAGATGTTGTGTTTATTCTCCTCAAATATGGCATTATTGTGTCATGATGATCCAATATGAATAGCCGATTTTCCTCTATCGCCTCATCAATAGTCAATCCATCCAACTTGTCCTCTATCTGTTCTCCGGTTATCGTGCTAGTATGGTCGCCGTAGGTTTCAGGGTTGAGTTTGCTTTTTGGTGGAAACTCCTGAAAAAACAGTTGGGATCAAATCAGAATATAACATTCATTTAGAAAGTGAAAATCATAAACTTCCGGTGTTTTTTGGGCATGGAGAAGGCAGCGGAAATGATCAACAAACCTTGAGGCTGCTAATGATGACAGGGTTCAATCCAGCAAGCATTTCTCTTGCAAATTCTTCATCTGTTCTCCAAGCAGTCTTGTCCTCTGTAACAATTCAATCAAAGAACACATAAGCTTCAACATAATCCTTTAAATTGAACCGAAAAATCCTTCAACATAAAGGTTGGTGAAATCATACGTTGGATGACTTGTGGAGTTGGGAATTTCAGCAATCCTTCTCCATCACTTCTGACTAACTCCTTCAGTAATTCTAGAGGAACATTATCAGTTAGATTCTTGAACAAAGGACCACTAGGAAGCTTAATTCCCTGTTCATACAATCTCAGTTCCTCTTCGAAGCTGGCGAATTCAGTAGGAGTTCCATCAAACAAGGCCTCAAACTCAGGCAGAAGGAACTGACCAACGGATTTCAGCGCGTAAGCGAGGAAATCTGACATCTTCAGGTGCCCGAATCTCTCATCCCTCGGAACATAAATGTTTAAGCTCAGAACAAGAGGGATCCTGCTCTCAGACTTTGGATCTGCAAGACTTGGTTTTCTGCCTGTTCTTCCCCTACGAGGGTAAGGATATTCCGATGATCCTCCGAGCACCGGACGAGCAAAATTTTCACCTAAGATGGGTTCTCCGAGATCATCATAATAAGCATAATCATAAACTCTTTCCCATTCCTGAAGTTCTCCTTTTCCATTTCCCCTCAAGCTTACCAATTCATCATTCCTGTATTGGATCAGGGGAGCTGGAGTTTCACCAGGAAGATAACTCTGTAAAACCAAGTAGAAGTAAAAACGTTAGCAAAAACCCGACAAACGTCCAACTCAAAACCAATTGGCAACTACGACGAATACTGTAGGAATATTAGTACCTGATTCGCGAAGAAAACGCGATCTTTCTGGTACTTTTCAGCTGGATAAACCCAAGAGTTACAGACGAAATGAATCGGGCCGTGTCCAGGAACATCCTCAAGTGTGACAGTCTTGAGGAAGAATTCGGTGTGATGGAAATTCTTGATGATGAATGCTCCTGGAACTCCAATATCTTCTCCCAAGTCAAATGTGAGATTGAATACTGATTCACCAGCTGGAATAGGTGTAGAAAGGCTTGAATTGATCCAGTCTTCCAAATATGCAGGGCTGCTAAGTTTTCCTTGCATCCCATTTTCTGCAACATTTTTCACACACAGATTTATTGTCAGTTGTACTGTAGAGTAAGCATTGAATACAATATTTTTTGGTGACATTTGTTTCGACTATGATCAAATTTCTTGGACCATTTCAAATGTACGGTTGAGAAAAATTGATCGTGTCTGATTCTTTCTCCATATATGGATGGTCAATGAAGCATTAATTGATACGAATTTTCGCGTAGACACACCAACTAATCCAACCAAAATATACGAGACGATAGACATTATTTTTACTGTATAAGTGAGACAGATGATGTGATTACGATAATATACCTGGATCAGGGTTAACAGCACTGATCAGCTGAAATGAAACCTTTTGACCAAACAATTCATGAACACCATCAAGGATGGAACCATTGAAGTCATTGAAATCCAACACATTCTTCCTCATCAGAACTACAGTTCCTTTGATCTTGTTGTTGTTGGTGTTGTGATGATCACCAACATGGGTAATCCCATTGAGTGCTCCCAAAACTTGTTGAAACATTTTCCTTTGTTTTTTTTTGGTTGGTTGTCAAATGTGAAATGAAAGAATATGAATAATAAAATGAAGATAATGAATGAATCAAATTATATAACAAATGAATTGAGCTATCTATGAAAGGTTGGTTGCAAGAGGTGGGAAGTGAAACTTTGAGTTGATGAAAGTGAAGAAGATTTGGTAGGGTATTTATAGGCAGCAAGATTTATTTATTGGATTACTACGTGGAATTTTTGAAAGCAGCCCAGCAGGGGAACTTTCAACTTGTACTATTCAAACCAAATCACAATAATAAAAAAAAAAAAAAGATTAATTATAGGGTTTCGTAGCGGACATTAGGAGAGGTTCTTCAAATACTTCAACTCGTCTTCCATGCGCACGTTCAAATAATAATTTTCTCTTGACTTGTAATTTGTTCATATTTACTTTTCTACTTGAAATGTAGGAAAAAAGAAAGTACTCCCTCCGTTCCATAATTATTATCCAGTTTGAGTTTTCTAAAATTTCTAATTCAAATTATATTAAAAGTGAAATCTTAAACTGGACAATAATTATGGGACGGAGGGAGTAATAAAATAAAAATCTCCAGGGATATGTTACATACTTACATACTAGTTGAATATGATAAGATCCTATTGTCAGCGTCAGCATTGGAAAAGTCAGGCAGCATGTTCCGTCATCAATTTTATCTTATTATCGACCTGATTTCATCAAAATCTTTAAGTTCGAGTTCATGCATGCATGCGTTTCATTAAAAAAAATAAAATAAAATAAAATAAAATCATACAAAAAATTTATTTTATAATTTTAATTCAAGATAACAAGATTATTTTTATGGTAAATGTAGTATATCAACTTCTTTTCTTTTCTTTTTTTCTTAAAGGGAAAGGGGATGAGATATAATTGCCGAGATAATTATATGGTCTGAAATATTGGAGTTAGTGAGTTTATCATCATTGTACTATTAATTAATCTTCTTCTAATTTAATTGGATTTAGGATTTGACTAGTAGGAATTATTGGCGCACAATGAACACGCCTTGACCAAAGGTGGTTTGAACCTTGAAAGTTTCAGGGCTAAATTTCTTTGACTCTTACTATTAGTATTAGTACTACTTATTGAATCTCAAGAAAGACAACAAAAGTATGTATTCTTCGTCATATCACGTGACCTAGGTTCACATGATTGGGTGAAACTCTTGGTGTTGATGACTTTTGTTGTCTTACGTTAAATTTGTTTTTGCCTAAGTCAACCCAAATTTCGATCGCATGCACAATTTGATACTTCAATTCCTTTCCTTTTTTGCCTTTTTTTTTATTCAAAACGTACAATTGTGAGTAGTATTCCAACTACTACCAATATTTACAAATTTCTGTTTACTCACGAAAATGCGAAAAAACTTCCGTGTGACATTTTTCAGTGTTATTACATTCCGTAACACTGTATATAGATAATCATCACAATATGAGTTCCTTTTCATTTTGATCACTGTGTTGTGTATTTATTATACCAATTTTTATTTTATTTTTATATTCATTCATTCGAGTCCACAATAATTTTACGCGGAGGAATTGAATTAGGATTTTGTAGTGTAATTACTAGTATTTAATTATTGTGCAATAAAAAAAATTAAAACTGCAAAATTAATCCATCGATCTGCTTAATTAGTACTTTTGGTAGTTTTTATAAGGAAAACTCTAGCTAGATGACAATCAATAGAGGCAGTTCGATGATTACACAACTAAACTATTCGGTGGTTCAAATAATAAAATAACGAGATATATACTTAGTAGATATTATTTTGTAGGGCAATGGAAAATCTTGGTTGGCAGCATTAAATCCACTTAGTTCAGGAACTCAATCAAAAGACAAAAAAATAATCTCATACACTCTAATTCTACACACTTATACGTGCTACTCATCATGATTTTAAAGTATGTCCCTCAGGGTTAATTCAATGGCGTGAATTAAAGTGCGAGTAGTAATACATATATGAAAAAATTTACAAAGAATAATATAGTTGAATTTTAATTATGCATTGACATTTAAATCGATAAAAATATTAAAGTAAGTCGTAAGTATATATGGACGGTCATGATTCATTTCTGTTAATTTTTTTTTTGTGAATTTTTGTTGTACAAATCATTATTGTTAAAGTGTTAACTATATATATATATATATATATATATATATAAAGATAATGTGTAAAAATATGATTATAATGATTCAAAAATTATTTAAATTTATGGTCTGTGAGGTTCTTATAGTTCATTCAAAATTACTTGATTGTTTGTGATTAATCATTTATCATTAATTAAATTACATAATTTAATTAATTTTAAAAAACAACATGATTCATTATTCGGTATGGTTCCCAACCCACAATGAATGATCGAATCGACCATGGTGGTCCTAAATCCCGATGCTACCGAAGGATTTATTTATGAATGATAGAAATGTGAAAATACTTTTATATATATTATATATATAAAAAAAGGAATGTAGGCATCTTGGTTATAATTATTAATACTGCATCATAAAAATCTACTAGTTAAAAGTAATATTACATTCCCCCCAAACCCATTAATAATTCTCATATTATTTTGTTTTACACAATTTTGATTCAATGAAATTAACTGATAAAAAGAGAGACAGAGTAACTGATCTTTACTTAGTTAATTACTCCCTCCATTTCAAAATGAAAGTCTTTTTAGACTTGACACGTAAATTAAGGAGACAATCATCCAACAAATAATTTATATGTTAAATATCTTTTTTACCCCTCATTAATTACATTAAAACTATAAACAAGACTAAATAAAAATAGATTAGCATCATTTATTGAGGGTAAAGTTAGAAAAATAGTCATTAATTTGTCTAGAATTTGTAAAACGACCTACATTTTGAAAAATCTCTGACCTACATTTTGAAATTGAGGGAATAATACAGTAGCACAGTCTGTAGTATGAAAACGTTAGTGAGCTCAGATCAATGGAGTTGATCAAGGACGAAATAATACGTTTAAAAATCCTACTTTTTTGGCTCCCAAATAATAAGGTAGTCCATCAGAATCCGAAAGATAGTAAAATAAACCATAAATTAATATTCATTTAATTATACTAGTTTAGTTAAATAAAGTGAACTAATGGACGAAGGTAATATAATATGTGCATGTTTCGGATAGGTTAAACGTGCTTCATGCAGAATCCACATACAAAGTCAATTATGGGAATGGAAGGGCATAAATGGGCAGCATAATAATGAAGGAGATGGAAACTGAAAACAATGAAATATGGAACCTTTGGGTAAGGTTGTTGGAGTATAATTTCTTTGACATTAAATGGAGTTATCTAACACTGGAATTCTGGATAAGCCAAAATTTCTTCGTTGTTGAAATAGGAAAGGCCCCGTTTTCTCTTTCATTATGATCATGCCCACAACGACGGGTACAATACAGCTCCGGTGTCGGATTTTTGCTTATTCTGATTTGTCCAGTTGGGAGAATGGGTCTTTTCATCCCAAGGTTTGAGTCACACCATCTAAAACATTCTAAAGTTTAAAAGCATGTCATTTTCATCCCAAACTTTTCAAAACATATATAATATTAGCATATTCATTAATTTTTTCAGGTTATTAACGGCAATATTTCATTCAGTTTCTTTTCCCCCATTTTTTTTTTTAGTAAAAAATGTTTCATGCTTGCGTTTGGTAAATTTGGTCCATACCAAGCAAAAAAGTTACATGCCCCTACATTAATTACAACACCAATTTTTATAATGATACTACATATTTTAAAAAAAATAAAATAAGGCTTATTTTCTAATTAGGACACACACAAAACCTCTCATGATTGTTATCAATCTAGAAGGTGAATCTTGGATTTTTTTTTTCTTTTTCTAAGCAAGGGAAGAATGGATGATTTGAAGACCAAATTAGGTTTAGCTATTTTCTTATAAGGTGGGAGTTAGTGGAACGTGTTAAATGATTAAAAGAATTGGGGCAGGAGAAACATGATAAAGTACCACCATTAATTAATTAACTGGAGTTAAAAATTTAACGAATATCCTAATGTAACATGTTTTTAAAAAGTTTGGATGTAAATGTCATGTTCTTAAACTTTGAGATGTTTTGGATCGTGTGGCCCAAACTTTGGGATGAAAAGACCCATTTTCCCTTGTCCAGTTTGACTTTTTATTTTTAATATATATTTATTAAAATTAAAAATATAAAATAGACAAATATTTTAAGATGAAAGGAATATTTATAAACATTTTTGCCATTTGGGTTAAGATGAAAATATTTCCAGATGAAAAGAATATTCGTGGAGTTTACAAGCAACATAGTAGCTTGTATTTTTGTTTTAAGTAAACAAGGAAAAAAATGATAGGGGAATTTTGGTGATTACATTTATTATTTTATTAATAAACTAACAATGTAATGGTTAAACTTAACGAATTGGACGACATTGAAAAGTAAGTAAAATGGGATTGGATCCGTTGTGATACTTTCCTGTTCCACTTTCTATTACATTTTATTATTATTTTTCTAAGTATAAATCATTTTTTTTGTTAATACATATATGATAGACACATCATTTCATTGTAGATAATTTTTATATTGTTATTTTATTACTTTGTATCAATATTATATTTTTAATGAAATTTTGATCAATTCTATTGAATTTTTTAACTATAAAAAAATTATAATAAATAGCCATGATCAAAGAAAAGTGAACCCTTTAGTTCTATAATATATAACTTCAAAGTGATAATAAATGGTTTAAAATATAAATACGAACACAAATAATAAAATTTATACAAAATTATTGAATTGTATAATACAGAGTGTAATAGAAAATTGGACCAGAGAATCTCAAAGGCACCAGACGTCCCGTTTACTTTGTGCCCCTTGTTGCCATCATAATAGAAGGAAAAGAGGAAAACATTTTCGCCGGATCAGGGAAGCAAGGAGGAGGAGGAGAACGAGGATGATGATGACGACGAGATTCCTAAGATCCATTACGGTGAGCATCATATATATGTATATGGTGCCGTCTTACCGAAATCGTCAGTATCAAGTTAATTTTTTGCTAATTGAAAAGTGTACTACTAGTGCGGTAGTTGTTAGACTCCAAATTTCTTTATATGAATTTGGCGATCTACCGACGTAGATTTTGCCCAACCAAAACTCACCAGCCTACTAAGTAATCACACAGCGAAAGAAATTCACTTAGCAACATGCCAAAAAATTACTTTGAGGATTATTCATGTGAGCGGATATATTTTGTGGAGAGGCAACGTGGCATAAAAGTGGTGGCTGTAAATAGAAGAAGAGAAAGGTATCGATATTTATTGTCAGATTTAAAAATTAAATGAATATAGACCATCTGATCTCTTCGTTATTTTTTATTTTAAAAATGGGATCATTTTCTGAGCAAAAAAAAAGTCACGTGTCACATTTTCCTTATTTCGGATTTGTACTGTAAACTTCTGTAAATGTTTGGAGGGAAAATTTTCATTCTGGTGTTGACACGTGTCCTTAGTGTTTAGTGCTTTAAGTAAGTACTATAAATGAGCTGATGATTGAAGGTTTTCAATTGCTTCATGATCGATGGTTGTTTAGTTTTGTTGCTTGGCTCACCAGTACATTTTTTAATAGCTTTCCTGAGCAAACAAAGGACTTTTACCAAGCGCAATCCCTCTTACTAATCTGGAAGCAATTGCACAACTTGGAAAATAAAAATTCACTTAAATAAATCCTTCAAAGAAAGGTTTATTTCTAAATTAAACACCAAAATAAATGATCAACAGTCAACAAAATGAAAACGTGTACTTCATCATCAACATTTTCGTGCAGCAAATAGTAATGGTTATTTTTCAGTATTTTAAATGTAAACCAAAAAAGAAGTACTCCTATTAGAATAAATTTAATAGCTTTATTTCTGTCTTGTGCTAAATCTTGTCCCATAAAGTGAGTAATTCAATATATTTCCTCCACAGTTTACTCAAGCTAGCTATATTTTATGTTTATGTACATATTTAATTTATGTTTTTCATTCAACATGTCTAATTGAAATAAATCGACTGTAACAATAATAGTAGTGTGACAAGTAAAGAAATTGTCGTGATTGACCATCCGCTGGCAAAAGTAACACAACCATTGTCTCAAAATATTTGATTACAAGTGTTGATTAAAAATTGCTGATACAATAGATTTTCATTGAATTTCTTGCTCTTATAAGTTACAATGCAAATGAATAAATTATATGCTTTTGGAGTGCATTGGGTAGACCGATAGAGTACTGACTGCCTCATCCAAATTAGATTATAATCATAAATAAGAATGAGTTGTTTGTATTCGGTCCACTGATAAGGAACAATTACCATCTATTCTTCCATTCCAAAATTATTATCCAATTTGAATTTTCATTCTTAGTTAAAATTATACTGAAAATGAAAACTCAAACTGGATAATAATTTTGGGATAGAGGGAGTATAAATTAAAGGGTCCTAATGTTTAGGCACATTGGCCAGTGGCTCTAACAAAAATCAATATTAGGTAAAAGGAAGGATAATTTTCTCTTAGAGTGTTAAAAAAATGTTAACTGTATTTAATCAATACTAGATGCTTGTCCCGGGTAAATGCCCGGGGCGTCCTCCTACCAAATAAATTAATATGTAAATAATCAAAACTGATTAGGAATGAATTTAGTTTTTGATGAAGATAATTGATTGATCGAAAATTAATTTTTTAGAAAGTCCTAAATAAATGGAGAAGGAAAGTTCCATTCACTGCCAAATTCAAAATTTGAATGAACATGGCCATCTGATCTCTTCGTTAATATTGTAAATATATTTTTTATTTTTAAAAGGAGGTGACACGTCGCAGCATGGTTTATGCAATATGGTGCATTTGGAGCCAAAACCTTTTAATAAGAATTTGCCACATCATCATCTTGTTTTCTGCTTTAATAGGGTAAAAGGGATATGAAAAGAATAAGAAATGGTAATTCCTTTAATAATATCCCTCCGTCCCACAAAAATAGTCCACATTGAGTTTTGAGTTTTATATTATTTTTAGTATAAATTTGAAAACTCAATGTGAAGTATTTTTTTGAGACAGAAATAGTAATTTATTTAAATCTTTCCTTAGCCCTTTTTAAGAAATTTTCCTAATCGTTTTTACTCCTTCCGTCCAAGATTGCTCTTCTGGTTTGGATTTTCAATTCCAGTACTATAATTTTTGGTTTGTAATTATACAATTTAGTTTGTGACCTTGCCGGGCACACCTGTTTGTTCCCTTAATACCGTCATGGGTATAGATATAGTACAATAATTTTGTGGACGAGGGACATTGTTTACATTGTGTTCCAGTTAAAGACACAAACGTCGGATAGTGGATCACAAAAATGTATTTAACGATTCACTGTGGCATACTCCTTCCGTCCTAGAAAAATAGTTCAAATTGAATTTTTAAATTTGTACTAAAATTAGTATAAATCTTAAATTCAATGTTCACTTTTTTTTTTTTTTTGAGACGAAGGTAGTATTATAAACTAATGTTTATCAGTAACACAAACAGTGGACCTGGAAGAAAAAGCTCTAGATCACGAAGGTAATACTCCCTCCGTCCCATAATTATTGTCCAGTTTTATTAAAATGAAAGATTTTATTTTTGGTCAAACTTAATTATATTTTACCTTAAACAACCGGATATACTCCTACATAAGTAATTGTTTAACCACTAAGATTTTATGGATAACGTTTTTTAGTAAGGACAAATGTGTAACTTGATCCATTAAAAGTCAAATTAGACAATAATTTTGGGACAAAATTTTTTGGGCAAAGTGAACAATAATTATGGGACGGAAGGAGTATTATAAAGGACACAAACAAATTGTTCTATTGGATCGTAATATGCTCCAGTACATCGTCATCTACTATTATTGCAGGAAATCCTCCCAAACTTGCTCACAGAATTCGTACAATACCACATATTGGTTGACTACTATACTGAAACCAATGTGGATCATTGACATACAATTTAAATGACCCAGAGCTTGATGTATATATGAAAACTGAAAGACATAATTATCTTTTGATTTGCAACACACCATTTTCTGATGTACGAACTAAAAAACAACGAAAAAAAAAAACAAAAAATTAATCAGAATGGTATCCAATCTTCGACCTGATAAGAGTGTGTCTAATTTTAGATGGATATACTATTGGGAATACCTTTGCCAGAAAGTCCAACTTCACCAGTAGGAAACAACAAAGTGTACGGAACCTTAACTGATCCACTCCTGTTTTTCAATCCAGGATTGTTATTCAACTCCACAATCTTCCCTTCAATTTCAGCCAATTTCTTCCCAAATCTCTCAAAAGCTTCCAATGCATTCACATCATTTGTCCATTCATGATCCCTCTGTCCAAGATAAACCTCATCCGAAGCATGCCTTGACAATATCTCAATCAAAGATATCCCAAGCAGCATCTGCAGCTGAGGAGGAACCGTTTTCAACAAAACTTTATCAGGGTCTGTTTTGAGTTCATCATACTCCGGGGTTCCAGGTTCCGGGATCAGTCTCCGGCTCAAGGTCGGGCGATTCGGGAGGAAACCCGCGTAAGGGTACTGCCCGAAATTCACTGCTGCGTGAAGAGCCGAAGATAGCCAGATGATAATGGTGCAAGAATCAATCAGTTCTTGACGACTCTGCATTTTAGGCCACCAGGGCTCATCTTTCTTGTCACCGTGGCCTTCTTCTCTGACTTCTTTCCACCAGGATTGAAGTTCTTCATCTTCCTGAATCATTTCATCGGATCTGTAATAATACTTGCAGTAGTCCTCCACCCATGTTTTAATGGCTGACCAGATCTCCAGCCCGTCCACGGCGAAAGGGTAATCCTGAATCAGCAACCGGAGCCCATGTCGCGCATTCGGGTCTTCAACCGCCATTCCCCTGTTTCAAAAGATCACAGAATTTCCCCTGTTTCATTCCATGAAAAAACGGGACAAAAATTTCTAATTGATTGGATTTACCTTTTGATGAGATCTGCAGGGAGTGCGTGCTCAGGGAAAACCCAGTCTTTGTACAAAACTGCTGACATTTCCATTGCATATTTTCCAGGGAAAACTGTGGACTCAATAAAACCTCCAGCATTCGTCAGCGTTTGGCGAGCCAAAGCATTGATAGTCATTGTGTCACGGAAATGAGGATGAAGGAGCTTATGAATCGGATGAACAACGCTTAGTTGCCGATTTGTTGCAATCACAATAGGTTCGATCACAGCATGTGTATGTAACCTATAATAAACAACATCAAGTGTCAAATTAATCGCGTAAAAAGACCCGAGAAATTCGAACAATTTTGAGAAGTTTGATACTGAGGTAAAAAAAAAGTACCAATGGCTTATGAGCTGATGAACACCGGAATCATTTACAGCAACATAAGTCTTAGCCAACTGCCAAAGTGAGCCTTCAACTCCATTTCCTCCTGGAGTGTATACTTTGCTAACTGCGCCGAATTCATCCCCGTTTGGATTTGGCAGACTTAACTCGATTGCCAATGGCTTTAGTGTTCCATCTTCTTGCAAGAAAAGCAGGGTTCTCGTGGCGTATATCTTTGTACTCGTCGCGTTTATTCGCCTGACGTATGGCATGAGGCTGTCGTGGTGATCCAATATGAATAGCCGATTTGTCTCCATTGCCTGATCAGCAAAAAGAATTTACGTCAGAAGAAGTATTGCCTGAGAGCTAAAGTTATGCATTTTCTAAATATTAGTTACCTTATCAACTGTTAGCCCATCTAACATGTTCTCCACTTGTTCCCGGGTTATTGTGCTGTCTTGTTTGCCATAGATTTCTGGATTGAGCTTGCTTCTTGGAGGAAATTCCTGCAAAATGTTATCATCCATTAATCTATAGTTTTGGGGGTGACAGATGAAAATTAAGATATAAGATGGATTTCTTACCTTAAGAAGGCTGATAATTACAGGGTTCACTCCAGCAACCATTTGTCTACAGAACTCTGCATCTGTCTTCCAGGCAGACTTGTCCCCTGTTTCAATGTAAGATCAGAACTACTTCAAGAATTAAAACACGAAACCTAGGTTGAATGTCGTTCCGTCTCCACAAAAATAATCCACATTTGTGAACTGAAAATTGTACTGAAAACAGTGCAATTCGCAATTCACGATGTGAACTATTTTTCTGGGACGAAGGGAGAGTACTACCTTTGATAACCTTTGGTACAGGGAACTTGGGGTTTTTCTCCTTATCATTTCGAAGAAGCTCTTTGAGAATCTCCGAATTGATACTCCCAGAAATACTCCTTAGCAAACCATCATCATTTGTTGGAGCTGGTTGATCATCAGGTCTATCTTCATAAATTCTATATATCTCTTCCAAATTGTCATAGTCTTTGTCAAGTTTTCCATGAGATATTAAGGACTCAAACTCAGGGAGGAACACTTGTGCTGCGGATTTCAACGCGTAAGCGATGAAATCCGACATCTTCAAGTGCCCGAATCGTTCATCCCTTGGTACATAAATGTTTATGCCGTTTATCACAGGTAGCCTGCTTTCGCTCTTCGGGTCTATATATAGCAACAACAGAAAGAAAGGCAAAAAAAAAAAAGTACTATTATAAAAATATCATATAAGAATTTATTGTTATCAGTATCATATGATACGAGTTTTATATTATAATTTAATTTCAAGCGTATCATGTCACATTGCATAATGTAAATAGATTTATTACCTGTCTTGGTTGGGGGTCTGCCGGTCCTTCCCCTCCGTGGGTAAGGATATTCCGGCGACCCTCCAAGTACAGGGCGAACGTAGGTGGTACCCTTGTCGGGATCTCCCAAATCATTGTAATAAGCATAATCATACACCCTATCCCACTCCTGACGTTCTCCGGTTCCATCTCCTCTCAAATTCTTCAATTCTTCCTCTCTAAATGGTAATAGTGGTTTCGGCATTTCACTCGGAAGATATGTCTTGGCCAAGATATATAAGACATTATATTAGTCAAATCTCGCCCCACAAAGAAAAAAATGACTGTCACGTTTGTTGTTATATAATCATTCGCTTTCCAAAATAATAAGTACCTGATTTGAGAAGAAAACGCGATCATATGTGTAATTTTTTGCTGGATAAACCCAAGAATTACAGAGGAAGACAATTCGATGACCTTCTCCTGATGATGCATCTTCAAGAATCACATTCTTGAGGAAGAATTCCCTGTGATGAAAATTATTGATGATGAATGCTCCTGGAATTCCAAGTTCTTCTTCATCCCACTCGAATGAGACGCTGAATGCTGATTCTCCAACAACTGCCTGTGTTTTTGTAGTGATGACATCCTCCAAATATGCCAAATTTCCAAGTTTTCCACGACCTCCATTTTCTGTTGGTTATAGAGGAGAGGAAAAAAAAACATAAAATAAATAAAACACAACCAGAATAGATATTAGTAGTTAGTATTAGTACTCCCTCTAATCCTTAATATAAGATATTTTAATTTGTCCTAAGTTTTACCTATTACGTTTTTTTATTAAAAAAAATCTTAAAAATATTTACTAACAATCAAGAAAATACGACAAATGTGAAAATATATTTTTAAGGATTTTTGTTTTTATCAAAAATACATTTTAGATGAAACTTAAACAAATCAAAATGTCTTATATTAACGACCGGAGGGAATATTTAGTAATTAATACTACCTCCATTCCTTATTATAACAGGCTTTTAACTAACTTTATACATACCAATTTAACTATTATTTTTGTCATAAATTTAGTGTGAAATTTCTAAAGTACCCTCACTCTTAATTACTACAAAGAAGAAGTTCAAACATTTTTTCTCTTTTCCAACAGTGTCAATGGTAGTTGTTGACTAATTAATGTCATTCTTTAAGATTTATAGGAGATGTATTGGCATTGAAAAAAAATTGAATTTACTACTGAAGGGGTAAAATAGGAAAAAAAAATTTAATGTTACTTTGAAAAAGTAAAATATCTTATAAAAAAGAATAGAGAAACCAGGTCTGAAACCTCTTTTAATAAGAAAACGGAGGTAGTAGTATTAAGAAGAGGTCATACATTTATTCTCTTACAATCCAATGAAAGGCATTCTAATAAGTTGCTGAAAATTTTGAGTGGTGTGTACACATGACGTATGGTAGCGTAAATTATTTTAGTTGACCCCGGTATAAATATAACGAATGGCAACAATTATTATTATTATTTTGGTACAAACATCAAAATATTAGTATTTAAATTGGTATTGTGGCCAAGTTGTTTAGGCGGCTAAAATTATTTTATCGTTTTTGTTTGCTGCAACTAACATGGAATCATTTGACAATCGGGTTATTGACAGTGACTGCATCTTGTACTATTCAATTTTTTTTTCTTTTTTATTTACAAATAATAAAAGAATAATGTTAGAATTGAGAACATGACAATTTATCACGACAGTTTAACAACGTTATTAAATCGAATTTTAATTTTGGTTGTCTAATTTTAAATATTTTATCTCCCAGCTCATCTCATCATATGATTTACAAGAGTACGCACTAATTAAAAGGCCTCCCATATGCACTTAATTGGGAGAGACAGACTCGTATAAGTACCCATTGCTAAGTCTTGATTCAATACATGTTTTTTTTTTTTTTTTGCATAAAAGAATTGGAGGAAAATTCTTATTCAAGATTCTTTGCATATACCTTGGTGTTTCATGTAAAATTGGCATACTGCCTTGGGCATCGAATCAATCATGTTGAGAAACTCAAAAAGTTTTGCAGATATTTTCAGAGATTGGACGTGTGTGCTGCAGTGTGGTCGATTCATTTTGTTATTGTGCTTTTCCACACCATGTCCAAAATATACAATTTAGTTATGTATAGATTGCCAAAATGATTCTGGTAGAAATTATTTTAATTCTACAGTGTTATAATTGTTATTAGAAATTACAGGATGATTTCCTTACACTTTGTATGTTAGTGATCATACACTTTGATCTCCTAATGTTCAAAAAGCATCAAACTAAATCTCTAACAATTTTTACAATCAATATCAAATTAAGAATAATAATCAGGCCACCAACACAAAATCAGGTCTTCAGTCGGAAAACCTATACATTTTATGCGTTACACCAATACTCTTAATCACCACCTCACTTGATTATTCGTTATTAATTAAAAAATAATTCGAAAACTTTTCAAAAATGAGAGACCAAAGCAGATTAAGAAAACAAAATGCTAAACATAGGTTAAAAAAATAAAAAAGAAGAAGAAGGAAGAGGGAGAGCTGTTGATTGATTTACCAGCAGGATCAGCACGAACAGCACTGATGAGTTGGAGAGAGACTTGTTGGCCAACAAATTCATCGACTTCTTCTCGAATGTTACTAAGAGCATCCCCGAAGAAATCATTGTAATCTAGGACATCCTTTGTAATCAAAACGACGGTTCCTTTGATCATCTTCTTGTTCGAATCGCCCTTCTTCTTACCTCCACATGCCGCCACAATGTGCTGTAGCAATATCATGGGCTCAGAAAAGCAAGAAATGAGAGTCATTGTTAATGGAAAAACAATTTCCCAATGCTTTTGTAGAAAATGAATGATCAGTGTGGCTTGGCATATTTATAAGAAGGCAAAAATCTCTACATAAGGGATGCATAAACTGGCCTAGAAGACTTTGTCTGACCTGATCAATAGTAACATCAACTTGTTTACTTGATTAATACGTTTTAATTGGTCATTAGTCTTTAAAAAATAATTAAATCAATCATTATATGTAGTGATTACTCTTTCAACTAATTAGGATATTAATTTGTGTACTTTGGTCAGAATGGATATTTCATTTCAAGTTGTGAGCCTTGACAATCATTTTGAGTACGTTATAAATACTGCCAAAAATTAAGAATATGCCCGCGTCTACTCTATATAATTCTTTTGGGCAGAAATTGACCCCAGAAGTACAATAGCGTGCGCTTGAAGGTTTGAATGTGATTTAGAATGTAAAATTTTCTCAAGGTGAAGATTGATTACTGGCCAGAGACATCAAAAATTAGGAGATAATTCTTGTGATGTAACATGTTTTGGCACGTCTATGGATTTTTATTCAATAAAACGTAATCCTTCTATCATGAAACAATTGTCCAGTTCAAATTTTTAATATTAGTATAAAACTGTTCAGTTTGAAACTTCATTTTTAATACAAATTATATTAAAATTGAAAATTTAAACTAAACAATATTTTGGGTAAGTAAGATGTCGATTTGAGTTATCAGGTCAATTTCATACTATGTATTCCACGTGTTTAATAATTTTTTTTTGGAGTAAAATGTGATAACAACTCAAATAGGATTAATCATGTCGTGTTGGACTCTCTACCTAAAACTACTAGACTCCTGCCTCCTTTTCTTATGAGAATAAGAAAAGTTCACATTAGGGACTATTTGTAGAGATGATGCGTTCATGCTTATCACGAATGGGAACAGATACAACTCATCTTTTATGATATTGTAATTGCTATAAAATGCTTCTAATCTCCACCAAATGCACACCAAAACTGTATATATTTTACCTATTTTGCTATTGCAAGTTGAGTGCTGCTGAGTCAAGCAAATTCTTACACCAACAAGTTATAATTTATAATTTTATATCTCTCTCTCTCTCATTTTTTTCCTTTTTACAATGTCAAATATGTGTATACGTAGAGGATAAGATCTTGCTACCATGACATGATGTTCATGTTCATGTATAACGACGACTGTAAACTTTTGATCTTGGAATTCTGACCGCATATGAAAAATTGCACACTCAAACAACCTCTATAAGATATGATACATGTTGGATCTTATGCAAAAAAAAAAAAAAAAAAAAAAAAACAAGTTCTATAAGAATAGTCTATTTATCAAATTAAAATTATAGTAGTACGTAGTATTTATTTATTTTTTTGGAACAGAAAGAAGATTTTGTGTATAATTTAGCATATGTGCTAGCTCATTGTCCTCCCCCCCAAAAGAAAGAAAAGTGTGTGCTCGAAATCAAATTGGTTCTTTGTATCAAAAAATATAAATCCAATTGGTTCTCTAACACGAGCCGATAATTTGCAGAAGAATTTATGTATACTAACTTTCTTAATTCGACTTTGTTTTTTTATGTTAGTAATTTTCTTACTAGTTCTCTTAGACTAAAGTTGAGATTCTTGACTAGTACAACTACAGAGAGTAAGGGAGCTAAAATGTATTAGCATTTTCCTCCTCAAACCAAAATTCAACATATGAAGGAACACAATATTCTATACATATGAACACAATAGTATTTTTTATTAAGAGGAAGAAACAAGAATTTTTCATTCTAATTAGAAACCAAACAGACCCGTAATATATATATATATATATATATATATATATATATATATAGACACACACCTCGGCCATACCTACTTTTCAATAACAAATGAATGAACACAGTATTCTTTACCTATGGACACTAACTGTATCATTAAGTGGAGTTGAAATAGTAGTATTATTATACACAGGATAAGTTATTCAAATTGCAATACTGTTGGGAATTCCTTTGGCAGTTATTCCAGCTTCACTTGTAGGGAAAAGTAATGTGTATGGTACCTTAACTGGTCCAACCCTGTTTCTCAAATTTGCATCTCCATTCATCTGCAAAATTTCTTCTTCGATTTGGGAAAGAGTTTTACCAAACCTTTTAAAAGCTTCAAGTGGTTCTGAGTCCTTTGTCCATTCAGGATCTCCTCTTTGTCCTAAGTAAACCTCATCAGATGTATGCCTTGATAGAATCTCAATGATAGAAAGGCCTAGCAAAGTTTCAAATTGGGCGGTTACGGTTTTGAGGAAAACTTTATCAGGATTAGTCTTCAGCTCTTCGTATTCAGGGCTGTCTGGCTCAGGCATGAATCTTCGACTTGTTGTAGGGCGATTGGGGAGATATCCCGCATAAGGCCACTGCCCGAAATTGGTTGCTGCATGCAGAGGCGATGACAACCATATGATAATAGTGCATGAGTCGATTAACTCAGAAAGTGTCTGCATTTTAGGCCACCAGGGTTCGTCTTTCTTGTCAGCATGTCCCTTTTCTCTGACTTCTCTCCACCAGGATTGTAGCTCATTATCGTCTTGAATCATCTTATCATTTTTGTAGTAAAAGCTGCAATAGTCTGTCACCCAAGTTTTGATTGCTGTCCAGATCTTTAGCCCATCAACAGCAAATGGATAGTCTTGAATTAATAAGCGAAGGCCATAAGGCGAACTAGAGTCCTCGACTGCAACTTTCCTGGAGGAGTCGGACTTGCGTTAGTCATTCATGTTGTCACATTCACATATTGTCACACTATAGTTGTAACATACAATTAAGATTGCAATAAGAAGCCTTGCCTTTTGATGAGATCAGCAGGAAGTGCTTGCTCAGGGAAAACCCAATCCCTGTAGATAAATGACGACATTTCCATTGCATACTTTGAAGGAAACAATGTCGACTCTACCACTCCTTTTGCATTGATCAGGATCTGACGAGCAATCGCATTTATGTTCATTGTGTCTCGACAATGAGGCTGGAGAAGCTTTTGAATGGGGTGAAGCACACTGAATTGTCTATTTGCTGCAATGATAATGGGCTCTATTACAGCATGTGTCCGCAACCTGTTAAGAAAAAATGAGAACATCAAAGGTGCTTATATTTTCTGACATAAGAAACTACAATTTGTAAAAATCAAGTTTCTATGTAATACCAATGTGTGATAAGCTCATGGACGCCTGAGTCATTTACTGTAACATAAGCTTTAGCCAGTTGCCATATTGAATTTCCAACTTCATCTTCAGAAGGTGTGTACACTTTGCTTATGGGACCAAATTGATCTCCATTGGGATGAGGCAAACTCAGTTCAATGGCCAAAGGTTTCAGTGTTCCATCGTTTTTGAGAAAGAGCAGTGTCCTTGAAGCATATGTCTTTGTCGTTGTAGAGTTTATCCGCCTTAGATAAGGCATAATTGTATCATGGTGATTCAATATGAATAAACGATTAACCTTGATTGCCTGCAAACATAATGTTGCAACTATGAATGCTTCCAGCCATTTTTGCAGAATAGTATAATATTCTAATGTAAGAACTCAAAACTTCTTTGGAAGTCTTCATATACTTCATCCACAGTCAATCCATCCAAATTGTTCCCTATGTGATCTCTGGTAATGGTGCTGGTTTGGTTCCCATAGACTTTAGGATCTAACTTGCTTGTCGGAGGAAACTCCTGAGAAAAGAACACATTCCTCATTATATATAAAGAGAATTCAACTTTCTTCTAGTTTACTTGATAGAAAATTTATTCTAGTGGCAGATAAATGAAAGATGAAGTTTCAAATCCACCTGTAATCCAGATATTATCACTGGGTTTGCTCCAGCCAGCATTTCTCTGGCAAATTCTTCATCGGTTCTCCAGGCAGTTTTATCCTCTGTTTCAAAATGAAGCAAATAAGAATCTTTTCATTGTTTAAAAGAAACTCTAGAACTTAAAATGATATAATGTGACAGACAAACAATAGGGAAGTCAAACTGTTGGATTACCTTTGATAACCACAGGCATTGGGTATTTCAAAAGCCCCTCACCATCCATTGGCAGAAGAGCCTTGATAAACTCAGCAGAGATGTTTTTAGTTATCTGCTGAGGTATCTTGATTCCTCCTTCATAGATCTTGAGTATATCTTCAAAACTATCAAACTCTGAAGGCGTACTGTCAAGTTGACCTTGAATCTCAGGTACAATGAGTTGTGAAACTGACTTCAATCCATAACCAAGAAAATCCGACATCTTTAAGTGTCCAAATCTCTCATCCCTCGGCACATATATGTTTAAGCTCAGGAGTAGCGGCAACCTACTCTCAGATTTAGAATCTGCAGACGCAAAACATAAGTGACCATGTCACATGAATTCACTTGACCTGAACAGCTATCAACTCTTGAAATAAAAGATAAGTGATATTAATGTAATGTGGATTCCAGAACATGTGCACTCGCATTCTTGGAGCAGAAACATGTATTAATATCAAAACTGGACCTTTACTGGTTGGTCTTCCGGTTCTTCCCCTACGAGGATAAGGGTACTCAACAGATCCTCCAAGGACCGGACGAGCATAATCTGAACCTTTCTCTGGATCTCCCAAATCATTGTAATAATCATAGTCGTAAACCCTGTCCCATTCCTTTCTTTCTCCACTTCCATCTCCTCTCAAGGTTACTAATTCTTGTTCTCTATACCACTGCAGCGCTGCGGGTGTATCCTTCGGAAGATATGCCTGAGTAGAGACATCATTTAGTGACTGACATCAGAGTAAGACTCTTTTGGGAATCAACTTGAGAATTTAGGTACAAGGTGATGTCTACGTTTACTTGTAACGGTTTAATTAATACCTGATTCGAGAAGAAAATCCGGTCAGTTTGATACTTTTCAGCTGGATAAACCCAAGAGTTGCAAGTGAAATGAATCCGATTATGGCCAGGAACATGTTCAAGAGTAAGTGTCTTGAGGTAAAACTCATTGTGGTGAAGATTCCTTATAATGAAGGCTCCTGGAATTCCAATATCTTCATCCCAATCAAATGTGACATCGAAGGCTGATTCACCAGTTGTCAAGGTAGTTGTCTTGGTTGTCCAGTTTTCCAAGAATGCAG